AATCTTTTTAGTCACTAATGGATGTGTACACAGCCTTACGGACGTCATTTAATGGCATCTGTAAGCTATCAGAGGGACCGCTAATAGCAGCTGGACACAATTAAACCGAGGCGGCCATTCGACGATAGAACAACTTACGATCACCATACTGAAATTATGTTTTGCTATAAACGAAATACTATTAATATTTTATTATTTTCTTTGCAAGCAAATTTTGACATTTCAAGTATATGTTGAATTTTTTTTAAATCCAGAATCCAAACACAATATCGTTTAAGTTACCAGCCAGCATCATTTTAGACAATATCATCGGAATATATATTTGCAATTTATAAATTAAAAAAATTTAAACTTTTGTTGTTAACTTTAGATTAGGGACTCATAATAAGGGTATAGTCTAAGGTACATATTAAGACCACTTAATGAATCGACGATAATAGAAGGATCCGTATGTATTTAGGTAAACTCATAAAGCAAATCCCTTGAAAATTACATGGAGTGTAATAATTTGAATGTTTGGTTACAATAAATTTACTTTAGCCATTGTAATTAGTATAAATTCTATGATCATTAAAATGTAGAGGAATTTGTACGTATATTTATTAACTTAATGTATTAAATAATTAACATTTTTAATATCTTTTCAGCTTATCGTATAACTGGTTGGAACAAACAAAGTGACAGTGATAGATAGTAAATCAATACCTGTTTTGTATTATCTGTTTAACAAGAAAAAACTATGCACTATGTAAAATCTGATCTAATAATAACACTTATTGTTTTTATTAAGCTTAACACTCTCAATATTGCATGATTTTCGGTATAAATGATGAAAACAATATTTTTAACTTGTTCATAATTTATCGAATTAATAAAAAATTATGAGTTTCAATTTAGGACTATATTTTCAAAGCTATTGTTTATCTCCAATAATGTTTAAATTTCTGGTTACCGAGCTTTGCTCCTGATTTAGGAATTATTAGTATTTAATTTGTGTTTTTTCTTTATTTCATTATTAAGCGAACACGTTAAGAAGACAGAAAACGATATAAATTAACAATTAATTTCTTGGTTTACCTCAAAACAAATACTCATTGACTTACTGTTGCTTAACAACGCCATCTGCTGTTGTGCCGTTAAAGCAATTAGTAGAAGCAATTAGCAAAAAGTAATATTCTTCGCTAATAGATGTCATTAGTAGTCATATTTTAAACGCCTCGTTTTTGTTATTTTTTTTTTCATAAGATGACATTTTCTAAAAATGATTCCTAGCTAGACTCTGAATTCCCCTATATACCAAATTTCATGAAAATCGTTGAAGCCGATTCCGAGATTCCAATTATATGTACAAGAATTGCTCATTTAAAGATATAAGATATCTAAGCGCACGGTAGTGCGCTGGCCAAGTTCCAGCAACAGGCCGCGCGCATGCCGTGCACTATTTACACGAACGGTTTCGACCCACTTTTGACCCCCCTGTAGCTCAGTGCCTATTGCAAGTACAGAGATAAAATTGTACCTACGTAATCATTGTAATTTACATCTTCGTAGATAAACTAATAATAACGCGAACAATGTGGCTATCGTTTCATGACATGTAATGCTTTTAGCAACTGAATACTATTGTGTGTAATAAAAAGCCTAGTAAAATGTATTTGTATTTAAAAAATTAAATGCATATAAAAACAAAAGGAGTCAAAATAGATTTTTGTTAAAAGAGTCATCTGTTGTTAAAATAGGGAACTAAATTGTAAGGATAAAAAAGATAAAATACTCAAATATGAGGCAAATTTATTTATCATACAATACAAAGTCCTTATAAATTACAAAGAAATATACCCATTTTCAAATAAAAAAAAAACTTGAACCAAAAATCCTTTCATATTAGTAGTAATTTGATTTATCTATGTATTTTCAATCTTTCTTTGTAATACCTTTCCTATAGTTATAATTTAACTGAATTATTAAACATTTCATTATTTATTTCCATTTTATTGTATATACTAGTTGAATTTAACTCAATTTCCATTACAATAAGTAAATATAGGAATGCAATAAATGGTAGCATACAATTATATAAGATTTTTAACTAATGTTGTTACCGATGCTTAGAAAATTACATACTCTAACATAAATACATTTCTAGACCCTATACTCATGTTGTTAAAACATTCCCTTAAATATATTAGAAATCAATAAATAAAGAAAATCTTTCTTAATAGTCCTAATTCAATATTTTATTCTAATATACATGCACCATTCCATATATAAAAGTCCAGAATAGTATATAAGTGAATAATGCTCCGAAGAATCCATTTGTCAGAAGGCTTTGTCGGCTGACGTAATACTTGTTCCAGTTTGGTCCGGCTTTGATCATGAACATGACCCATAGAACCACAACGGAAAACACATAGAATGCAAATCCGTTGAGACCCGTTAAGCCAAGAATACCTTAAAAAGAAACAGTTTTATCAAATCTCTAGTAATATATAATATGATTTTAATAGTATGATTTTTTATTTTTAATATGGTATATTTTCTATTTATTCTATCTAGAGTTGTGTAGTACATTTTAAATAACATTTGTAAACTTAATTAGATCTAAGATTCTCGCGAGTCATATTCATTTAAATAAAACTAATATTTTTAGGATGTACTATGCGACTTTATTTTTGATAAAAACTACATACTCCCGACATTTCGGTTACTTTTCAGTAACCGTGATCACGGGCAGACTATATGTAATCTCGTACCCGTGTAGTATATCCAAAAAATATTAGTTTAAACATTTGTAAACTATTTGTAAACTTTTAAAGGTAGGTTATAACTAAGTTCCAATAATATGACTACTTGTAAGTTTTAAAGGATTTTATATAATTGTATCTTGTAGTATAATTTCAATGAATATACCTGCAGTCGAACCCGACAATGCAGCCATAGATGTTCTACAATATTCACAACAACTGCATTATTTCTCAACGCTGTTTCGCTATATGCAATTGGTTCAGGTTTGATATCTTTACTTTTACTAGCAGAAGACATATTTGATTAACCACACAAAAGTTTGTGTTTAATAAGAATCTATATATGCGTTATGATTACGCTAAAATATCACAAAACCTTTACAATTTTGGTTAATATAAATTATAAATTAGACTAGTCCCTTCAAGTCATATGTCAACAGTGTCACTAAAGCTTTTTAATTTCATTGAACGGATTTGGATACTAGCTGAATTTATGTTTTTAAGTGACACATCTAAAGCAATTGTTAAAGAAAGAAGATATCTACTGTTTCGAATAAAACAGAAAACTTAAATTACATGAAATATATTTAACTATAATATCATAAAATTGCGAATACAAAAGTATAATTTTAACAGTGAGTTTTATAAACACACACTATCATATAGAATAAAGATTACTTGACAAATTACCATGTAGAGATGTGACTACCTTAAATTCCAGTGATTATCGATTATCCTTAAATTCCAGTCATATTAGAGTTTTTACAAGTAAAACGAAACTCTAGAACTAAAAAGCTGAATGCTGTAGGTCAACCTTGAATTGAAACAATGTTACATTCATAAAGAACATAATTGAGGACTTAAAATTAAATGAATGTATAATACATAATGTGCATTTGTACTGAAGTAGATTAGAGTCTCAGAGATTTTTATTTAATAAAATTAAACATACCTAGTAACGTTTTATTTTCTTTAACAAAATAAATACAAAAATATTTTCTATATACCTAAAAGGTAAATTATTTTAAGTTCTTTTTATTTTGTCGGTTAATAATACTAAATTTTTAAATTAAAAAGGTTCAATATATAAAAAGTTTATATAGATTTTTAAATTAATTTAAAAGTCAGACTTCACAATATAATAACAATTTAGAATAGAGAAATCATTGTAATCTTTAAGATATAAATTTATACTTTATGTGACTATCGTTGTTGGAATTTTGATTTTTAAAAAATAAAATATATTTATAACCAAGCACTGTATTCGTTCTGATTGATATTATGACCTAAGCAATTTAAGATCTTCAAGAACTTAAGTTGCTTTAACAGAAGTAATAAGAAATACGACATTGCAAAATGCTAATTCCTTTCTAGTACATTATACCAATGAACTCTTTGAATGTGTGTGTGCATAAAATAAATACATAGTTACTATACTGTTTGACACTCACTCATATAGATTTTCATGGTGGTTTTCGCGGCACTTGGCGTCATTGAACTTATTTCCTTTTGTATATCAAAAACTAAGTGATATTATTTGTTTATTATTATTGTAACTTTAAGGTAATTATTTCTTAAAAGTGTGTAAATAATATTAAGTATCTAGTGGACTTGAGTTTAGAATTCTCTGTTAAATTAAACAGTGATGGCGCGTGGATGACGGCTATGGAGATACATATTCGGTAGAAAATAGGACTTTGTTCTAACGAAGTCCTGGCGTTGGTACTTTAAAGTATATATTCTGGATCCGTGGGTTTTATTGTTTATAAAATTACTGTGATAATTATTTCAACACGTACGAGTGATTTGAAAAAAAGAAAATCAAGTTTTTGATTTTGTGACTTATAAATTCTAGTATGGAGACCGTATCTTAATTTTCGTTTTATCGTTGAAGATGCTTATTGCTAGTGAAATCTGTCATCCTTTTAGTAATATGTGATTGCTACAGGCTTCGATTTATTAAATTCGTGATATATAATTATTTTTCATTCTATGGACTGAATAAATTGTCTAACCCATTTGACTGAATACATAACTTCATTTTGATTTTTTTGTTTCAGAATCAGGATCGAATAACGTGTTGACTAGACGTATTCGTTTATTTCATTATTATTATGCACATGCAATTACTTTAAAGAAATGATACAAATGAAATTTGAAATAAATGATAAATTTTAATATCGCATTTTTGATATAGCGTTGACCGCGTTACGTCATTTATAAAGTAATCAATGAATATAACAGCTTCAACACAAAATGGATGAATCTGAGGACAATTTGAGCGCCGAGGAGATAAAATTTGAAGATGGTTCATCTGTTAAAGTTAAATCAAAGAAGCGGTCTCTTGTTGAAAGAGAGCTTGAAACAAATCTAACAGCTCGGGTTACTTCTCCGATCATGAATAGAGATTCTTCAAGCACTAGTCGCTATGGCAGGACTCGTCGAATGAAAACCGAGACAGATTTTTGTGACACTGATAAAGCGGTGACAAAATGCTTACAATCACCAAAACGTGATGTTACAAAGTCACCGAATAAGACACAATCACCAGCCTATAAAATGCACGCCTCAAACTCTCCTATAAGAGTTGAAACACCAAAAAAAGAATCTTTGAACAATCAAATCGAAAGCATTTATAGTGAAAACATTTCATTGAGCCGTTTCAGACCTGATGAAAAAAAATCAGCAGCAAAAAAGTTTCCCAAAGTTTACATAAGAAAAGATCTTATACAGACAAAGGAGAAAGAAATAGATGATACGGTTGTATTAATAAAAAATATATTCTCACCGACCAATAGTATAACAAAAACTAAACCAAATTTCGATCTAGAAACGTCAGCTGAGAAGAATTATTCAAACAAAATGAATAACTACATGAATACGTTATCCGTAGTTAAGACATTGGATTTCGATGGTAATAAAAAGAAGAAACGTGATGATAGGAATGAAAGGAAATCTTTATCTAAGAGCGAGCTATTCGATTTGGAGGCCCAATGTGAATATCAAGTAGGGGATTTAGCGTGGGCAAGGATGGGAAGTTACCCATTCTGGCCTTGCATCATAACTAGAGACCCACATAGTGGCATGTTTGTTAAGAAAAAGTGTAAGTATGGGTTATATATAACAATAAATATATGTATAATATGTATTAAATGACAAATATATAATTTATAAAATATTTTTATCATTAAGAAGGAAGTATGTTAATAGTAAATTATATGTGTATATGTTAAAAAAGTGCACATATACGCTATTATACATAGTGATAGATTTAAAATACTAGATTGATTCAGGCAATTTTAACATATATATTGTTTTGTATGAATTTATACATTCATACACAATATAATTTATGAGGTAAAAACTAATAAGTATCAAATAATAGTTTATAATTCAATGTATAAAATTCCACCTTCATAAAGGTTTCTAAAACTAATATTAAATTGTTTCTCTCCAGCAGAAACCAATTATGTAAATGTTTGAGTAGCAAAATATTTATAGATCTCTTTAAAGGATTGCTTTTTATTTAATTAACATATACAAATACATTTAAAAGTTAATGTTTTATTATGAGCAAGTTGTTGTCATGAGTTAATAATTTTAGTTATTTTTCTTTTATTTTGTCAACAACTATAAACAAGAATTATACCGCATTTGTTAAAATACTAAATAACTTTTTTAGATGCAGAATAATTTTATGACTATTTAAAGTATCTTTAAACAAATTTGTTTATATTACAAAACTAAAATGTATACATTTATAATTGATAAATTGATATTACAAGTTTCAAATTTCAATTATGAATTCTTAGATGCTATGGAAATCTTTGTGGAACTCTACCTCATTGTAGAGATAATGTACTAAGTAGATATCACAACATCACACAAATCCAAAATTCACCAGATTTACCTGTTTTTTAATTCTACCTCAACCAATTTAATGTACAATATTATTAATAAATAGTTTTTATTTCCAGTATTTGGTCGTATTGAGCGCGACGTGATGCATGTTACTTTCTTCGGTGATAATGGCCGCCGCGGCTGGATCGTGGACAGTATGCTCAGAAAATTCCTCGGGCAGCTTGAATTTGAAGCTGCTAGGATGAACTTTAGTGCTGAGGTATTTAGCTATAAGGGCATGTACATATATGCGATATTTGAAAAGGCTTGTGTGGTTTATGCCTGTCATTTAATAGTGCTAATAGCAAATATTTGTAATTTCAGACAAAGAAAAAGGACCCAAGATTGTTTGCTGCATTTTTTATATCAGAAAAGAAGACACCACAATGGCAGATATCAGTTGAAGAGGCAGAAGCGTTGCTCAGGGAACCGAAACGATTAAGAATAGATATACTAAATGATATGATTGAAAAGTCCAGGGCTTTGAAAACTACTCCCAAACAGGAAAAAGGCAGAAAAATCACTAGAACAAACAGTGATGTATCACTGAGTGAAAGTTTGTATGACACATTATTTTCCGAAGACGACAGCAAAGTTAAAGAAACAGAAAGATCTAGAAGTAAAAGTAGAAATAAGTCATTGGATGTTTCCGAAGTTGTAACGGCCTGTTTGGACAATATGGCCGCCAAAACTGGTATAACAAGAATACAGCGACAATCACACATGGACAGATGGCTACAGAAAGCTAAATCCAAAACCCCAGAGAAATCTCATAAATCTCAAATCAAAGAAAGCAGTTTGAAACCAAAGAAAAGAAATAGAGACAGAAATAATAAAATCACATCTGATAGCAAACATAACGATCATGATTACAGTCGAGATTACAGTCCGAAAGATAGTCCAATAGTTATTGAGGATGATATAGAATATAATGCTGAAGAATTCGATATACAGCCTGGTTCAGGAATTGGCATAATATCCAAAGTTGAAACGCTCTGTGGTAAAGATACACACGAACACGAAAAAGATCATATAAATGAGGTTGCACAGGAAAATGCAATTGCACAGAATACAGATATCGAACAAATAAATTGCGTGGAATCAGTTCTGTGTGGTACAGAACAAACTAATGAAATATCCCCAAAAGTTGCATCCCAGATTAGTACAGATGTTGAGAGTGATGTTGAACAGGTAAATTCAGTTGAATCACCAGAAATATCATCCATACAATCTGAGTATAATGACGATAATAATGAACCCGAATTGATGTATGAGCAAAATGATATAGAATTAAATACTGTTAATATAAATGGTATCAAAAATTCACATTCTATATTCACTAAGATACCCGATGTTACTGATAATAATATTTTGGATAATATATTCGCTACGGACGATAGTTCTAGTGATGTGGACACGAATAATGAAAGTATCGATGATAAAACGATTAATAATGAAGTCAATGAAACATCGATAGATTTAAATAATGTAAATGATGTTGCATTGATTGAGGAGAGAATGGATGTAGAAAATAAAGATATAGGAAACAGTCCGTCTAGAGAAGAAACAGATCAAAATAAATCAACAAATAATGATCTGGGTGGAAATTTAAATAATACTAACAGTGTTGAAAGCTCATTAGACTTAGATCAGAACACAAATAACATAATTAACAATAACTCATTAAACAAAGAAAATCAAGACTCAAAAGATCAAGAAGTAATTAGTGTTAATAATATTGAATTATGTGAAAAAGATAATATAAATCAAGAATTGGATAGTGTTGTAGAAAATATTTCACCGGTCATAGAAACTACAAGACATCGTAGGCGTTGTTTGAATGTGCCTTTAAACAAATCTATCGATATAGTTACTAGAATAAGTGAAGATATATCGAATATTGACAAAGAAGAAAATTGTGATAGTAAATTGAATGAAACTATTGAAGAATTACCTCAAAATGTTAGTTATAACGAAAAATTAGATAGTATAGAAAATGACCAAGAAACATTGCCATTGAATGATATACAGAATCCATGTGGCGATACTGAAAATGTAGATTTGGAAAGTAATGAAGAATCCAGTACTCAAGTTAATACATCTGAAGAAAATCAAACTCAAAATGTAACAAAGACTGAATTAACTATTAATACAAACAGTTTAAATGAGGAAGCTAAGGCAAAAAATCCCATAACATATGAGTTATCAGATCAAAATGAAGGAAAAACAGATGAGATTAAAGAAGTAGATATAGAAAAAGATAATGATAATGTATCAGTTGTATCAGAGGGAAGTGATACATCAAGAAGGAAACGCGCCAAAGACAAGCCGATTGATAAGAAATCTCTGTTATCTGACGTGGAATTCTTGAAATACTTGGAATTGAGACAAGATGCAGTTATGGATGAGCATCCTGAACTCTCGCAAGAAGAAATCACTAGCTATTTGTACAAAACTTGGTTGTATGAAGAAAATTTGAAACCAGATATAAAGAAATGCGATGACATAGACCAAGCTAATTTAGTTAAGGGCTTGAACTCAGAACCAGCGCCGGTCAAAAAAGCCAGGAAGAGGGTTAAAGTTGAAAAAGAGATTGCGTGCGAGGATACAACCAAAGAGAAATCTAAAAGGAAAATAATACGCCCGTACTATAAAGAGGATTTTTCAGACGGGGAAGATAGCGTGGAATATTTTGATATATTTAAATCTAAGAAGGACCAAAAAGCACCAATTGTTGATAGCAAAGAGATATACCAGAGTGATGGAACCGTTCTCGAACGTATAATAAATGTAGACGAATACGTTCAAGACGAATACGATGATGTGGAAGAATACTTTAGACAACTAACAGCACCAAAACCTAACGTCTTTAAAGGTTATGTGAGAGAAAAAGTATGCGAAATATGCGAAAAAGTCGGCGGCTTAGTGAAGTGCAAGGGTTGCCATTCGATGTTTCATGTTGAATGTGACAAGAAGGAAATCGAGATTGTAGAATGTCAGACGCCAACAAGAGGTAGAAGGAGAAAGAAGAAAACTCGAGGAAGAAAGGCCAAGGACGATCAAGATTCCGGTAGCGACGAAAAGTCTCAAGATACAAACGGCTCAGATGAATTACACATGTCGCTTGAAGAAGAATCTCATATAATAGCAAATGCCGACGATTTCGAGGCCCAAATGTCCATGAGAATGCAAGAAATGCTCAAGGATCAGAACATTCAATACGATTTCTATTCACGCGAGGAATTGGATTGGAACGACACTCACGCTGGCGAATGTAAAGTCGTAGACATAAAGCCGAGGATGGATTCTATAGAAATAACTGATTATTCGGAATTCAAATGCAAGAACTGCCAAAAATACGATCCGCCTGTATGTTTTGTATGCAAATATCCTATATCGCCCAAAGAGAAACAGAATCACAGACAGAAATGTCAAGTGGCTCATTGCAATAAGTATTACCACTTGGAATGCTTAGATCATTGGCCCCAAACGCAATTCAACGCCGGAGAAGTTTCTAGAACGAATAAGTTCAGCGAAGCCCTAACTTGCCCGAGACACGTATGTCATACTTGTGTCTGCGATGATCCCAGAGGTTGTAAGACGAGATTCAGCGGTGATAAACTAGCAAGATGTGTTCGTTGTCCGGCCACTTACCATACATTCACGAAATGTCTACCGGCTGGCTCACAGATATTAACTGCTTCTCATATAATATGTCCACGACATTATGAGCACAGGTAAGTTAAACATATACTAAATATAATATATTTTAAAATAGTTATAGACCAATAGAAGATAGAAAATCTTTCAATGATAATTCGTTTAGTATGTGCATACTTATAGATATAAGATTTGTGTTAGTGACATAATAGTTTATTTGTCAAAGTGACTGAAACTCGATATTCCATATATATCAGATTCGAATTCTATACATAAAGTTTCCATAGCATATCCTACTAATATTATAATTGCGAAAGTTTGTGAGTGTGTGTGAACGCTCAAACGGCTGAACCGATTTTGATAAAATTTTGTATACAGGAAGCTGACGTCCAGGAATAACACAGACTACTTTACATACCCGGAAATCCGCGGGTAACACCGCGGGGCGCAGCTAATATTCTATATAAATATTAATATATAACAATGTAATATGTTTCAGGCCTGGCAAAGTCCCGTGTCACGTGAACACGGGCTGGTGTTTCATATGTGCCTTGGGTGGGTCTCTGATATGCTGTGAATACTGTCCCACGTCCTTCCACGCTGAGTGCCTTAATATTAAACCTCCGGAGGGTAAGCTATTACATATAAATATATATATATATAAAAGAAAGTCGTGTTAGTTACACTATTTATAACTCAAGAACAGCCATACGGATATAGTTGAAAATTGGTGGAGAAGTAGCTAAGAACCAAGAGATGGACATAGAATATTTAGTTCTATTAGATCGAAAAAAAAGACCTTTAAAAATTACAATATATGGTTATTTATGGCCTCTAGGGCGGAAAAGAGTTCTACCAGTCAGCTTTACATATATTAATAATGCCGAAATTAATATGGACGAAGTCACGGGCAAAACCTAGTATATGAAAAATCTTTGACTATACTAATTTGTATGTAATATGTTAAAGAATTTTTAAAGCATAAAAGTTATTGATTTCTTAAATTACTTAAGCAGAATATATGTATGTATATACAAAATATCTTATTAGAGTTTTTACAGGAGTTAAACTAGAAATAAATCTATAAAACAAAATTGATTCCTCAACTATTCAATATTGTATAAACCATTATTATAACTATTTACCGTGTCATAATTAATATAAAACACTAGAAGACCCGGCGAACTTCGTATTGCCCTATAATCAAGAAATATCTGTTACGTTTTTTTATTTATATTTTTGGAGTTTACCTATTAAAGCCATAAATCTCCGTGTTTTGAAGTGCGACAGAATTATTGACAAATTAGTTAGTTGTCAAATCTAATGTCAAAAAAAACGTTTGTATCAACAACTACTAATAAATTAAAAATTAATTAAAAAACATCGTCCAGTGGACAAAATTGTGAATCTAAACCATTCCCAGATCACCTTGAACACACAAAAAATTTCATCCAAATCAGTCCAGTCGTTTGAGAGAAGTTCAGTGACATACACACTCACAGAAGAATTATATATATAAAGATATAGATTTGAAGTTAATATAATTTAAATTACCTTTCAGGTGGTTATATGTGCGAGGATTGTGAGACTGGCAGACTACCGCTGTACGGAGAGATGGTCTGGGTGAAACTGGGGCACTACAGGTGAGAATACTAGTGCAATAACTACATGTTTACATCAAACTAAATACAGACAGTTTGAAGTTTTCCTATTATAAATCTTACTAAGGATAGTTAAAATGGGGTTGTGAATGAAGATCTATAGTTATGGTAAAAGCATCTGTGTGAAAATATGTAGTTTTTTAAATGTAACAATGTATTTAATATTTTTTTATATTGTTTTTAAGCAACATTTGTATACAATACAATTTATATTGTAGCATTTTGCATATGACAATAAGACTGTATGTGCTAAGAACTATCATAATGATTTTTAGGACATTTTAGGTTGAAATGAATTTCTGGTGATCATATATATAATTATTATACAGTCAATCTGGGTAACTTTGACAGATAAGGGTGATATTTTATACTATATTTAAAAAAATTAAACCTATCACTCGGGTGTTTTTATTTTATCAGTGCTCTCGTATTACTTTCCGTCTCTAGACATCCACAGAAAGTTTATAAAACATACCAATATAGTATAAAATCTAAATTTTATGTGTGTCAAAGTTACCCTCCTAAGATGGGTAACTTTGACACACACAGAGCCAAGCATAAAAATGTAGTAATAAGTATTATTTTTATCAATCTGGGTAACATTGGGGTATATATTTATTAACTAATGGATGCATGTGACACAATAAAACGAACATTTTGCAATTTTGTCTTATATTAAAAAAAAATATGAAGAATCAGTTTACAACATTTGGCAATATTACACACATTGTTTAACACCATCAAAAACGCTTAAAAAACTCCTTTAATTTAACATTTTTATTCAAATTATAAAGAAAACAAGCAAAAGTAATTTTAACAAACAAACATTTTGTAAAATCTTGAGCATAACTTGTCTATTCTCCCGACTCCATATAGAGCAAATCGTCAATAATACTAGTGTAGAGCCCAGGCTGCTTTATACTCATTTTACTGTTATCTACTGGAGATACAACATCATCTTATCTAATTTTAATAATTTCTCTTTTATCTGGCCATTTCCAACCACCTTGTGTTGATCTACTCATTACAACAAGTGTATAATACGGGAATGTGTAACTTGTCACTTTTCCTGGAAGCAGTGTGCCTTCTGTTTTAAATATAACTGTTGTTCTAGGTGAGAACTCAATATATTTTGATGTGCATGTTGCAAAACTCCATCTTTAACAACAAATTCTTCAACCACCTCTTCTACCACCTCTTCCGCCACCATTTTAGTTTCTATGTAAGGGTAACTTTGACACTGTCAAAGTTACCCAGTTACTGTTCAAAATACGTATTTTCATATTTATGCATGAAATTTCAAAATAAGATTTAATTATATGCAACTTTTTCATGAAAATGCGGTAGTACACTCACAAATGGCTCTGTATAACATCTCACTTACCTTATCAACAACCAAATTCACAAAATATTCAAAAAGTTATTCACCCTAAAGTAAATTTAAATTCGCGCGATATATTCAGAAACGAAGTTATAACGTTTTTTTACTTTCACAGCTTACTTTTTTTAAAGTGCATTTAGGAAGCTTATTTAAAATCGCAAATCTAAAATAAACATATAATAATAATAATAATAATAATAATAATAATAATAAATCCGTTTATTGTCAGAAACACAGAACCATTGAAACACATAGGGATAGAATAAAGAAAACATAATACATATGCTTATGCAGACAATGGGAGCTGTCTCAGCTGCATGTTTCTCTGGACCGTGGCCCTGGGAAACGCTGGTTTTCAGACAGTCCCTTTTACAAATTTTTCAAATAGGAGTAACATTATCCTACCCCCGCCACTATTATTATAATTATAATTTACAAACGTTGGAAAAAAGCAATTACAAATAAATGGTGATAGCAAAACTTATAAAAAAAGAAGTAAATTTAATCAAGACAGAAATAAAGTTTATCATTAGAAAATACTGCAGTATGTACAAGTACTCTTGCATGAGTGTGTGTGTGTGCGTGCGTGCGTGCGTGCGTGCGTGCGTGCGTGCGTGCGTGCGTGCGTGCGTGCGTGCGTGCGTGCGTGCGTGCGTGCGTGCGTGCGTGCGTGCGTGCGTGCGTGCGTGCGTGCGTGCGTGCGTGCGTGCGTGCGTGCGTGCGTGCGTGCGTGCGTGCGTGCGTGCGTGCGTGCGTGCGTGCGTGCGTGCGTGCGTGCGTGCGTGCGTGCGTGCGTGCGTGCGTGCGTGCGTGCGTGCGTGCGTGCGTGCGTGCGTGCGTGCGTGCGTGCGTGCGTGCGTGCGTGCGTGCGTGCGTGCGTGCGTGCGTGCGTGCGTGCGTGCGTGCGTGCGTGCGTGCGTGCGTGCGTGCGTGCGTGCGTGCGTGCGTGCGTGCGTGCGTGCGTGCGTGCGTGCGTGCGTGCGTGTGTGTGTGTGTGTGTGTGTGTGTATGTAAATGTGTGAATGTGTGTCTGAGTATATGTGTGCATGTGTATTTCTGTGTGATTGGAGAAGTAAGGGGGTAATCCTAATATTGCCAAAATTCTTTTAGCGGCAGGCATTTGTAGTATGCGTGTCTAACATTTTCTGCAGCATGTTGTTTTTTAAGCAGGGTTGTTTTATATTTGCCTTTAAAAGACTCTGTATTACACTTTGTTCTAAGTGGTGGAGGTAGATCATTCCATATTTTTGCTGCAGAAAACCTAAAACAGCTTCTATACCTTGCCGATTTATGATTTTGAATTTTGAGTTAGTTTTGGACGCCAAAGCGACGGGTTCTTAAGCAATGCACGTCAAGCCAGGTCAATTTTTCGAACAGGTATTCTGGTTTTTTGTTCCATACAATTCTGTGAACTGTGCAGGCATAATGGAGTTCTCTTCTTGAAGTCATGTTAAGAATTCCCTTAAGATTAAGATACCGAGTAATGTGTTCCCTCTTTGGGACGCTATAACAAAAACGGATACAGGCATTTTGAACCCGTTGAATGCATCTTTCGGCCTTAGTATTTAGTCTTGGTCCATACACTGTACTGCAGTAGCTCAGTTGTGAGAGAACAAGAGATTCGCACAGTAGCAGCCGAATGTCTTCCTTGATGAATGGCCTTATTTTGTACAAAGTCTTCAACTTCATGAATGCCGTCCTAACTTTATTATTTACGTGTTCTGTAAATTTTTGCTCCGTATCCAAAATTAGTCCAAGATTACGTGCAGAGGAATTCTGTTGGATTTCAACGTTGTTTATTTTGAGCTTAATCCCCGCGTCCTGCACGCGTTTTATTTGCTTTTTTGTACCCAATATTAACATTGATGATTTTTGAGGGTTCAAGACCAATGCGTTATTTTGAGACCAGGTGTTGATACTGTCGAGGTCACTGTTAATTCGCATGAAACCAACATTAAACCAACATTATATATGAATAATGTTGGTTTCATGCGAAAAAATAATCGAAACTAGTTCATGGTCCCACTGTCAAAGTTACCCGATGAATCAAAGTTACCCAGATTGACTGTATATATATATATAATTACCACCTAAAATATCCTAGAATTTATTGTGAATTTTATTTGCACATACACATACATATATTGTTAATACTATATGTATATGTACACACATATTTGATACTATATTAATTAGTTATTATTTTTATTGCTTTCTTCTATTAGATGGTGGCCAGGTATAATTCTTCATCCATCTGAGATTCCAGACAACATCCTGACCGTGAAACATACTCTTGGTGAATTTGTGGTCAGATTTTTTGGACAATATGATTACTACTGGGTCAATAGAGGCAGAGTGTTCCCATTCCAAGAAGGTTAATATAATATTCATTAATAAATATTAATATATAATAAAATAAAATTTTGATGATTTCTTGTATATAGATAGATGTTTTACATGAAAGTAAAGTATTATTCTTTTAAATTAATGCATGCTTTAGTTTCTATCTAGCTGTATATTAGCTGTAGTTAATTATAGTATCACAGATCAGTTTATATCTTCTAACCTTTTCTTATGTTAATTTTTGTTTAATTAAATATGATAATATATTTTTCAGGTGATTCTGGTAAAGTTTCTAGTCAGAAATCTAAGATAGACGCAGCATTCACTATGGCGATGGAGCACGCACAAAGGGCTTGTTCGATATTAAAAAGTATGAACAGTATATAAATTATATTTAATACAATTTTTTAAATATTCAGTTTCACCAAGTAGTTTATACAGGGTGACTGGTGAATTACTATCGATACTTGAGGACGTGATATTTGACGATCATATATGACAAAATAAAAATTAATGTAACATAAATATTAATAAACTTCTAAGTAAAGTTAACCAAAAGTTATGTAATTAATTACGCATCGTATGAACACCCTACAGATTAGGTATACACACACACACACACACACGCGCGTGCGGCGGCGTAGTGTTGTATCAGCACGCCGCCGCACGCGTCCACACTTGGAACACTTGGAACGTGTCCTCACTTTATTTATTTATACGGAAATTTGGTCAAAAATTAAGTATCTATTTTTTTTACATAATTCGAATGAGAAACATGTACCGAGTATTCTCCTTAAATATTGATAGTAATTCACCAGTCACCCTGTATATCAATCTATTTGGTGGATTTACACATCTTGAAAATACTGTTTTCTAAAAAGAATTTCGGTTATTAAATTTCGATTTGACTTAACAATATATTGAAACTATTTTATATATACTATGTAATGCTAAAGAAAATAAATAAAGAATATTAATACTTACATTTCAATCTATATTTATATAATTATATTCTAAGACCGTATAATTTACTTACAGTGGCTGCGCCGAATGAAGAAGAATCTTCTGATATAGCATCTTCCTTGCTACCTCCTCATTATGTTAAATTGAAGGTGAATAAACCCTGTGGGTCACTCTGCGGCAAGAAGATAGATTTGGAGGAGAGTTCATTGACCCAGTGCGAATGTGACCCTAATGACATCGAACCTTGCGGGCCCTATACTCAATGTCTCAATAGGTTTGTTTTTTACATATAAATTTATGTGTCTGTCCTACCAAATGTAAGAATAACACTACAATGCCTATGGAAACAATATTTTTCCGAATAAGATTACATGTGCATATTATTTTTAAAAGTTATCATTATAAAGCAATCACCACTGTTAGAAACATTACATTATGTATTAACAAAACAAAACTTAATAATGGAATCATGCGATATGAAGATATTGATTACCATGCTGCCAAAAAAAAACAAATTAATTTCTCCAACTACCATCTTTAACAGTGTGCATAAATAATTTATTACATTATTATTATTATAATAGACATATAAATTTATTTCACCAAATATAAAACCATAATAAAGTCTTATTATATAACATGTATTTATGTGTTAAACTTTTCTGATATATTTCTAAACTATATTCCAGAATGCTCCTAACTGAATGCGGTCCAACTTGTCGCGCGGGAGACCGCTGTAACAACAGAGCCTTCGAGAAACGTCTGTACCCGAGGCTGGGGCCTTACCGAACACCACATAGAGGATGGGGGCTGAGGACCATGCAGGATATAAAAGCTGGTACGTGTTGACAGACGAACACACACACATATACATATTACACGCACACACAAGCAATCACGTACACACAAACACAAGTATAGTCCTTTAGACTTAAGCTGAGCTTTGCATTTATTTAAGTGAAAGCAAAAGTAGAATTAGAAAAAAAAAATTTAGAAATAAATGTTAAATAGATACATAAGTCCGAGAGTTATTCTAGATTAAAAATAAAATCAGTGAAACTTGTAAAAGTCCAGATGGAAATATTGTGGAAAAAAATAATTAATTAATAAAAATGTTGAAAAAACTATACAAATTCTTCTTCACTTGACATTGTGTTTTCAACATTTGACGCTGCTATAGTGAGGAAAGTGCGGGACTGAGTAGAAGCAGTATAAACCAGTTCAAACCTGGAAAAAAATGTGGCATGTACAATTTGACATCACACCTACACTGTCCGTGTGCACTCACACAAATGCAGAGCTCAGCTTATGCATCGCCCACTATACGTATTTTATTCTCCGTGAATTGCTTTAATTTTTTTACCAAAAGTACGATTATAATTTAAAAGATAATAGAATAAAATGGTAAGGACTTAACGATATTAAAAATGTATCGCACGCGTCTTAAGTGTAGTGATTAAGTATAAAAATTTAATTATTTCTTTTATAAATATAAAATACATTGTTAATAGTTGAGACCTTAAAATGATGTATAAGTTTTTTGCTCCTAAAAAATATTACATATTTTATTGAAAAATTGTCAATATATTCTTTATAGGTTAGGAAAATATTGAAATGACTAACAATAATTTATGTCTACCTGTACTATATAGATATATATCTAACTAGCTTTCCGCCCGCAGCTTCGCCCGCGTGGAGTTCAGTTTTATCGCGTTTCCAAGAGAACCTTTCATAAGTCTGTTATAAAAACTATTCTGTTCTTTCTCAAGGTCAAATTTATCTCTAATTACCAAATTTCATTAAAATCAGTTCAGTGGTTTAGGTGTGAAAGCGTATTTTCCATTGTTAACGCCCCCGCCAACACCCCTTGTGGGTGGAATTTCGTAAAATCCGTTCTTAGCTGACCTCTACTCGGCGAAAGGAATAATCCTACCAAATTTCAAGTCGCTACGCCTTATGGTTCCAGAGATATCGTGATGAGTCAATATACAGGGTGACTGGTGAATTACTATCAATATTTAAGGAGCATACTCGGTACATGATTCTCATTCGAATTATGTAAAAAAATAGGTACTTAATTTTTGACCAAATTTCCGTATAAATAAATAAAGTGTTGACACGTTCCAAGTGTGGACCCGTGCGGCGGCGTGCCTATACAAAACCACGCCCCCGCCGCGTGTGTGTGAGTGTGTGTGTGTATACCTAATCTGTAGGGTGTTCACACGATGCGTAATTAATTACACAACTTTTGGTTAACTTTACTTAGAAGTTTATTAATATTTATGTTATATTAATTTTTATTTTGTCATATATGATCGTCAAATATCACGTCCTCAAGTATCGATAGATTCACCAGTCACCCTGTATAGGTGGAAATCTCTTCTATATATATATAAAACATTGAAATGGCTAACTATCATTTATTTCTACCTCTAGTATACATATCTAATTATAATAAATGATCATTACTTTTCCAGGCCAGTTTGTTATAGAATACGTAGGAGAATTGATCGATGAGGAGGAGTTCAGACGTCGTATGAACAGGAAACACGAAGTCCGGGATGAGAACTTCTATTTTTTAACGTTGGACAAGGAGCGTATGATAGATGCCGGGCCTAAAGGGAATCTGGCCAGGTAATTAATATGCCTTGGATATTATATTATGTATAGTGTTCATATATATGTTTTTTGTATATGACTTCTTGTATTATTGTTATTTGTTCATCGAGAGATTTAAGTTCCAAGGACATATACATATACATATGTTTATAATTTACTATAAACTATATCTTGAACTTTGTTTAGGAATAAAATGTTAAAAGTATGTAAATGGAATATTAACCCATTTAGACCGGAAACTATTTTTTTCGAAAAATATGTACTTTTTCTATTTTTATCGTATCATTGAACATTGTTAGTAATGAAAAAAATATTTAAAAAAACATCGATTCCATAGGGGGCCTGAGATGGGCCGTATCCTATGTGATACAGTAGGCTTATATAAAAGCATAAATTCGAGTATCTAAGGCAAAAAGTATTTATTGACAAAAAATATACACCATTATTTTTTGGTATGATAGGTAAGAAAACTATCAATATAAAGTCCAATATTGCACTTTACACATCTTGCAGGACATGATCGACGACACAAGCCCCATCTTGTTCGTTTATTCTGTGGTTGTTTGATGACGTAATGACCCTTTTCATCAAACCTCGTATCCATGGTTAGTGAGGATGGTCTGCTACGGCCTGGTTTACTTCCAAGGGTATTTGATTCTATAAGTGCGATAGCTACGCGACGCCTGAAAGTCAGCATATCGACATTACCACCATTATATTTGTATAGTAGCCAGGCGTTCTGAAGTGACATGTCTATACAATGCAGAATGAGTGGCATATACCACTTCTTACCGCGAATACTTGTCCGAAGAGATGATATGTTTTATCTGAAAGATCAACACATCAACAATCAGATCATTTTTTGCATCAGGTGTCTTTTCCTAGTACATACGTCTTCTATTTACTTGACAGTAGCCGCTTTCTAAGAAAATGCCTATAGCACACTTCATTTCTTCCATTTTCATATCAACGGGAAGATTTTTCCTTCCTAAGTATTTATTAGTCTCAGTAGTGAGTAATAGATAAAGATCTTCTGAAAAAAATAAAGAGAACCTTTCGATAGGCGACCTTTGATTAGGAACATGGAACATAGGTTTCCATGTCGGTTTTGCTTCAGTAACGATTTTTTTTCTCCAATTGTACTTTTTGGATATTTTGCGTAGTGGTTCGCAGAAATCTGGCTCTTGATCTACTTCAACTCCAAGACCTGATTGTTGACTTTTAAAATCTTCTGAATTTGATCCATGCAACTCAGCATTCGTTCTCAACAAGCTCGGTGGTAGGTTGTTGATTTCGACGTTATCTTCGTCTCCAAAATCTTCATCACTCAACACCCCGTTTGCATTTTCAGGTGGTAGTAAATAAATTTAACTGTACCTTTTTTCGATTTCATCTTCTAACAGAATGACAATTTCATTCAATGTAAATCTGAAATAAGAAATATATTGTGCGTATTAGCCTACTGTATCAAATACGATACACTATAGTTTACGAGTAAAAATCATGCAAAAATTTCCAAGAAATAATAAAACTAAATCACTCAATTTACGCTTTAACTTGTATTCTAATTATAAATTGTTATAAATATGAGATAATTTGAAAAAATATAGCATTTCTTACCGTTTTGATGCCATCATATGATCACAATGCACAAATCACTAACAAACCATGTATGTAGTCAACTTGTGTATTCGACTATAACAAATACACTCTTCTAGGAATGTTGCACAGACTTTGCACTTCACATGGGTTCCAAATAAAAACAAATTCTTATCGACGGAACTTCAAAATAATTTATTACTTTTGGTGTATCGTATGTGACACAGTAGGTCTAAATGGGTTAAGGAAGTTCCATTCTAATATAAAATTCTCTTTCTATCTCCCTCTATATATAATACTAGCTTTCCGCCCGCATCTTCGCCCGCGTGGAGTTCGGTTATATCGCGATTCCAAGAGAACCTTTCAAGTCTGGGATAAAAACTATCCTATGTCAAGGTCTACTCTATCTCTGTACCAAATTTCATTAAAACCACTTCAGTGGTTTAGGCGTGAAAGCGTAACAGACAGACAGACAGTTACTTTCGCATTTATAATATTAGTAGGGATGAATAATTATGTGAATATTTTATAGGTTTATGAATCATTCCTGTGAGCCGAATTGCGAAACACAAAAATGGACGGTTTTAGGGGACGTGCGTGTTGGATTGTTCGCATTACGTGATATACCGGCAGTGAGTAGAAATTACAATATTATGTAAAATATATAATTGATATATCTATCAGAGATTTAGTATATTTTATGGGTAAGTTACGCCACTGTCAAAACAAAGTGTTAGTTTAATAAATCTTAAACTTTAAGTACAACATGTTTTAAGTCCAGGATGAGTGATATAATTTTTTCTTTAGACGAGATTGATTAAAAATATAAATATTACCTAAATGTGAAGTAATTTTGTAACTTTTATCTTGAGATAGTAATAATTATATAATGATTTTGTCAAGAGAACTGTTTTTGTCCTAAATTGGTGTAATAATAGTTGAAGAGGTTTAAATATTTGAAATTGTATTATAAATTGTTTGTTACATTTCAGAATAGCGAGCTTACATTCAACTATAACTTGGAGACTTCAGGTATTGAAAAGAAAAGGTGTATGTGTGGCGCTAAGAGGTGTTCAGGATATATAGGAGCTAAGCCTAAACAGGTGAATAAATTACACACACACGCATGCACATTCAGTCTTACATATATACATATGTATAGCTTAAGAAAAATTACTAAGCCTTTTCCAAATGGTCATATAATTTTTAATTATACTCATTACTATTTCACGAGTCTTAAGAGTTAGTGTTTTTATAAAAATAACCTATCTTATAAGTACAGTAGAAACTCGATTAACCGGACTAACTGTTGTTGATAGGCATTCGGATAATCGAATGTATGAAGAAAAGACGGTTTTGTGCATATGTACTATTTAGTTTATTTAAAAACAATAACAAATACATATCAACGAAAATCAATGTTTATTAATAAATAATTAAAGCATACATTTTCTTAGATTACATATACATAAATATACAGGAATGTACTAAAAACTGCAGATTTTAATCTTGAAATAAAATAATAAGTTTAATTCGTTTAGAATATTTGGTAATTGTTATTTGACGTACGCCACTCTCAACAACACCGCTCTCTTACGCTTTACCATTTTTTCTTGTCGGGAGTTGTCCGGACTTCTCCGTAGTCCGGATTATCGCGAATCCGCATAACTGAGGGCCGCATAATCGAGTTTCCACTGTACTTAAATAATGCAAAAATTTTATATAACAATGAAATTAATAATAACGTTTATATATTACAATTTCAGGAGGATCAACCAAAGAAAATCAAACCGCAAGTGAAAAGGATTTACAGGAAACGTAAAGCAGAAGAGTCGCCTTCTACAAGCCAGAACAAGAAACGAGGCAGACCTATAAAACCGCGAGAGTTGACTGAAATAGAAAAAGATCTTTTAATAATAAAAAATGCAACCAACGGCCTCTCTAGCGATTCAGAATGCTCTAGAATAAGTATGGACAGTTGTAAAGATATAAAGGCTCTTAAAAGGAAAAGGATCAATCTATCCACTGAAGAGTTGTCTCCAAAGAGATCTAAGATTGATGAAATGAATTTGGTTTATTGATGGACATATGGATTTATATTGTAAATATTATTTAGTCATCGCTTTACATATCGCATAAATGTATATTCAATATTTTGTTTTTCTTTTATAATATTCCTGATATCAATAAAATTATTACAATGATGATGATTTTATGTTATTTGTTGAAACTTAGACTAACTATTTGCAGGTAGCCTAATCTAATAATTTAGTAACAATTATTCTTATATTCATTTGTGCTTAACTGATTTGTATATTTCAAAATGTAAATACGTTTTTGTTATATCTTTTCAATTATTGATATTTCATTTATTAGACAGACAAGTTTTGGTTGAATAGCTTTTTAAAGTAATTTTATAAAAGTTTACAAAACAAAGTATGTGAATAAGTTTTAATACAAGACATTCAGATGTATGTATTATATATCGTCACAATTTCTATTATTTCAGTAATCAATAAGTAAAGCTAGTTGAAATTATCAGGTGTCACTAATATGACTTCTTGTATAGACGAAATGACGGTGTAAAAGCCAATAGGGCTAATAACTACAAACAAATCGAAATAAAATAAGAAAATATTTAAAAACAGTCTCGGTAAAGCTATTACAGCGATCGGACTTCTTAGAAATAAAGAATTCGTCAACAAGATTACCTTCAATATTCTGAGAGCCTGGCGAACATTCATTGTGAAAATACCAATGGTATTATGAATTGCAAAACAAATTCTCACATGATTAGAATTTGAAGACAACAAAAATGCTCTAAATAAAGTGTAAGGTGTTGTTATGCCATCGTACGATGTGCCTTTGTTTATTTATAAAGCTTTAATAATGTTAACAATTATCATAAAGTCAATTAATTATGGAAATGTATTGAAATTTGACTGCAATATCACACAGCTCTGATTAATGACAACATTTATGGTCCCTATGTATTCTGCTCAACGGGTAGTGTATATGCTATAAAACAGTACTGCGGCTATTGTGGAGTTTTTTGGTACTTTTTGGACACTGATGAGGTAGTCTTAGGCGTGAGTACACAAATTTGTGTATTTTTAGTTATAGGATAAAATTGTGTTGACCTCGAAGAGAGACTTCGGTTAAAGTACTTATTTAAAACACGAATTGAGGGATATTATCATCAGTGGCGGGGCAAGACCTAAATTTGATGTGGGCAAGACAGACTTCGCAAGGCCCTATTCTATGGCAACTTGAAGCTCTTACTACCTGCTAGTTTTAAACACTTAAATTTAACTAGTTTTAAAAACTTAAACGTAGATACGTTTTTTACCCTTAAAGCTTTGGTTTCCTTCAAAAGATATTATAAAGCGTATTTTGTATACAAGTAATTACTGCATTACATACTTATTACCAATTAAATATTTCTTACTTTATGTAAAATACACGAGTACAGGTACCGGTGTAATTACAAATCACAAAGAAAACAAAAATAATTAAAAAACGTCACTGTTTTCGGTGGCAATCAATATACTTAAACACTATTTATTCGCTAAATATTATTAAAACATTGAACACACTATTCTTATTAAAATAGGTTTAATTAATTCTGATTCCCTTAAATTGATTGATTAAAGAGGGTTGACCGGTCGTAAAAACAAATAGCCAAAACTAATCACACATATAAGTCAGACCCTGGCTATAGCTGGGAAATTGCCAGGAAGAAAAAGAACAAGATTTTCTATATTCTTGCTTTAAAATTTTTTGAGGTGCGAGGCTCTTTGTACTGCGAGGCCGTAGGTGGTTTCCCACGTCGCCCACGCCTTACGCCGCCACTGATTATCATGATTCGTATATGCACATATGAACGAATGTCTATACATGTTTAAATAAATGACGCAGCTCTGTCTAAACTCTAGGGATACTCGATGGTCTGGGGCATAGAGTATCAATAGCATGATATGCTTGGAAGTTTGAGGCTATTTTAGTCGCCAAAGGTCGAGTTCAATTTTGCAAACGAAATCTAACATAATTTTTGGTAATTGTACCGAGTCTGGAGCCAAAGTTTAGCTTACGTTTCATTTCAGAATTCTTAGGATCTGATATTCCCTGTGCTTTATTCAAGTCATCTATGTAGCTACTTTATTTGGTTTCATTGAGACCCATTGAAATTCTGCTGTGTTTGTTCTTAAACTAGTGACTATAGAAATAAGTAGGTATTCTGTACCCACCAGGATCGCATCATTTAAATCGGCAAGCGTAGGGTGATGAATTTTCTGAGTTTGATGCGAAGCGAAGCTGCTTCAGGTACGAGATTTCAGATTGCTAACTTGGACTTCGATACGCAATGCGTGTTTTTGTACAAATGCCTACGTGGTAGGTAGGTACATTAAATAAGATGTATTATCCGTACAGGCTGTGGAGTCTCTGTATCTTATGTACTACGTTAAGGTTAGATTACATCTAGGTTAGAATTAAATCCTTAAATCTGGAAAAGGAAGGAAAGAAAACAATGTTACCTTTTTATGATTTTTAAGGAGAACGCATAGGTTATGAAGTTTGATTGCGGTAGCAGCTTAAGGAACAAAGTACAATAAAGAGCAGGCACAATAAGCCTTAAAGTTAGCCTAAGTTCTAAGTTGTGTCGATGACGCGTACGACAGTTCTCGCGGTCTTCGCTGTTGTAACAGTATGGACCGTTGCGTTGTCTTAAAAGTTAAAGGATTTTTTTGCAGTCTTTCGGTTTAATCTTAATCGGTAGAAATTAGATGGTCCTTGGAATTTTTAATCCAATTATTTGATTGACGGCCTACGGATAACTTCAACAGGTTTCTCTAATTATCGCACTCCTTTTTTTTTCGGGGAGAAATCCGCTTACAGACTACCCACTGCCATGGCTCGACAGTGGGACTTGTGTGGGGGTCGCCCAGAGCCTGATGGTGTTGTCCCTGGGAATACCCACTAAAACTCCCCGGCTTCCCTTTCTGCCCGTATTTGGGGGCGATTTGGGACCTGCTATGGCAATTCACCAATTCACCCCCGGAAATCATCGCACCCTAGTCCAGCCCTAAATCTATCAATTGCCCTGTTATAAAAGCTGGTTCCCCTTCACACCACTCCCTATCCCAAGAGAAGTGTACGCTTTTTTTCATCGTAATCTTTATACCATTGCTACTTTTCTATTCGATCTGCTCAAATTCAAAGGATATTATCTATGCCCTTCCCCTAAAAAGTATGACAAATAAATTTGTATTAAAATAACACGAACCTTTATTATTTCTAACATATTACTATAATATGTATTATGCTTTTATCATTGAGTTTATTAAACATGATTCAGTCAGGTTTAGTTCTTTAATTCATTCTTGACTTTAATCACTTGCTCCCTCTGAAGAATGTTTGTTTAGTCAACACATTCTGTCAAGCCGCCTAAACAAATAAATATTATGCAAACACGCTGAACGTGTTTGGCAGTTGCTCTTAGATGTCAGCATATTGACATATGAATTGATATTGTGTACATATTAAAGCTGCGTTCACAATAACTTAGGTTAATTTACGAACTTACTGTTTTGTTGTATTAGAGTACAATGATATTTTACATACAAAAACTTCAGTATTAGCTTTTGTTATAATACATATTAAATAAATAATTTCATGAATGTGATCAAAGTAATAAATCGATAGAATTATATGAAAATTAATTAGTCGAAATTGATGATTTCTATCAATTGAAACGGTTTCATTTTAATGAACGACATATTTAAGCTAATGGTATTTTTAATTCCGATTTTGAAGAATATTTTTTATTACGATCCAGGAAGCTAAAACATTATTTAAAGGTTTTAGTTAACCTACTTGAGGTTTATTTCTACAATAAAGAATACTAATATCATTTATTTTATATCGTTACTGTTAATTAAAATTAAATCTTAATGAAATTTAAAATTTATGAGTACTTCATTGAATTCCTCTTAAAATAAAATAGTTATGACAAGAGACTTGAATTTTAATCATTTTAATGCTTTCTAACAATTTTGTTTATTTACGCAACTAATCGTATCTTGAAGTTGAAACTTGTTGGAAATATTTAAGTAGAACAAACAGGCTTTTGTCAAAATTGACATATATTAAAAACAAAGCAACAAAAAATATTGCGTTTAAATTTTACAAACAACGCGAATGTTTATAAGGTGATTATATTGTGTACTATGATTAAAGAGATTTTACGAGTCGATCCAGAGCACGGTGTATTATTTTATTCAAGTTTAAAAACTTGTTCGACCGTTTTTGCAGTTCTCGGAGCGGTGAGTTGTTAATGGACGTAATGAATAATTTATCTTGTTTCTACATTAAAGTTATATATTTAATAATTACAGGTATGGTGGTGTTCCGATTACTTCGTAATAAAAAAATATAGAATAACATCTTTATTGAAATATCGTATTTTTGTTTATATCTACAAAGTTGTATTTGCACTTTATTTCATTTGCTTACTATTGTTGTTTTTGCAAATAAATCGATAAGATTTGATTTTGATCAAGTGTTCCTTTTTTAATATATATTTTTATAAATATTTCCGAGCATATGTACAGATAAGGGAAGAATAAGTGTTAGATTTGTGCAAATATAAATAATTCCAGAAATTTAGCATATTAAGAGGACGTAGGTACCTAATGGCCTCTTTGTAATTAAATTTATGGTTAAGGAAAGAGAAAAAATATGAAATTGAAGAAAATACTACTACTTTAGCAAATATAATAAATTTTAGCATTTGATGTTCTTTTTTCCTCATAATTTTTCTACCGTTAGTTGAATAAACCCGCCTGCGCTCTCCCGACCTCAAGGAATTTAGGTCTTACGCTGTGTTTCATTAACATGGATTTGTTACCTTGTTTGTAAGCACTCATAAAGCTCCCGTTTCACGGATATAAAATAAAATATTTTTAAATTTTAATTTAATTAGAACTCCCAACAGTTCATAATGTATTAAATAAGAAATTTATGAAAACACTATATTATACAGGGTGACTGGTAAATTACTATCGATACTTGAGGACGTGAT